TCTCTGAAAGACAAGACCCTGGAAATGATCACTTTTCATCAGATATATTGGGCAATGCTCTTGTTCTCCAAAAAGAAGAAAAGTTTTCAGCTTTTGTAAACTTCAGGTGAGACTTGTCTACCTGAGTCCGCTGAGTCAAAAATCTCCTGTGTCCAAAGTACAAAGGCTTCTATGGGAGCCAATTATCTTCTCTTTGTCATATTGGAGATTGTCTATCAGGTAAAATTGGCTCACCATGGAAAGTGCTGCCTTCGTTAACAATACATAAATAAATAAATAAATAAATAAATAAATAAATAAATAAATAAAAAGGGGAAAAAAACAATCCATGCAATAATAAGACTTCTGCCTTTCTCCTGAACTTTATTTTCTGGACAACATTCTTTGTGAGGTTTCAAAATGATAAATGGCTTCAGTTTTTGTGAGACGACTAGACTCACTCCCACAGCAATCAGCAGCTAAAGCTTACACAAACTGCAGAAAGTGTGTTTCAATTCTCATGCTGTGCAGTTCAGGTTATCAGAGCCAGCATACAACAGCCCTGGTTATACCATCAACAGGGRTGAAAAATGTTGTTTATTTTAATACTCTGAGTCTCATGGCTCACTATATCATACAATTTCTCCTTTGTATTTGTCCCCCTAGGATCCATGCTGTAACTCTGTTAGAAGGTCAGTTCCCCTGATATGACAGTATCAACTGGGAGTGTAGGATTCATCCACTTCCATTCTATATCTATCCACAGTTTGCTGGAACAGAAGAACTGCTGCAACTTTACCGGTTCCTGAAGCTGAAGAGCTCTTCGGAAACTTGGACACAGATAGCTTCAGCAAGCTATCCAAAGCCAATATATTGGGTGTTCTTTGTGCAGAAGGCAAGTTCAAAAGCCCAGGCATAAGTGGAGAAATCTTTTCCTTGTAGACAGAAGCTTTTTGCTGCTTCGTGCATGCATGCATGTCTTACAGATATAGAAGTTGGACATGTAGGATGGAAATAATATATCATATGTTGTGATTTGATGGTTATTTTGACTAGGGGTAACAGAGAGAGGGAAGGACCTTGGCAGCAAAGACAAGTTACATCCTACAAGTTACATCTTTCTACATYTTTTTTGTTTGTTTACTTGTTAAGAGCAATAAAAGATCTTTGGGAAATGGGGAGGAGATATAAGCAGTGGGGAAGGATCTCTTTTTGAATGAATGAACAAAATATTCAAAGAGACTATGTTGCTCTCTTCTTCTCACCATGATAGAAAGCACATTTGGATGGGGAATATCACGCGTGTGACAGAGTTTGTTCTCGTGGGATTTCCAAACYGCTATGAAGTGGAGATCATCTTCTTTATGCTGTTCCTGCTTGCTTATTTAGTGACTGTTTTGGGAAATGCTCTTATCATTGTGCTGGTCTATAYTGACTGTCATCTACATTCTCCCATGTATTACTTCCTCAGTAATTTGTCCTTCATTGAGATCTCCATGACTTCCTCTGTTGTGCCAAAAATGCTGGCAAACTTGCTGTCAGAGAAGA